ATCCAAGGAGGAAGATCCACAGCAATGCCAGGCAATCTGTGCCAGTGCTCTGTCAGCTGCACATAAAGAAGTACTGCCTGGTATTAAGAGGGAGCCTCCTGTGTTCCAGTTTTTGCCCATTGCCTCTTGTTCCGGCTCTGGGCACCACTGAAAAGAGCCTGGCTCCATCCCCTTTGCTCTGTCCCTTCAGGTATTTATAGACTTTGATGAGATCCCTCTGAGCCTTTACTTCTCCAGGCTGTACAGTCCCAGCACTCTTTTGTATGTATTTCTTCTGCAATTAATTCCTAAATATTTGTGAAGGCCAAGCTGTTAATAGTACATGAACATTTATAAATTCCTTTAAGGAAAGTTGTTAGGGACAGATCTTATACACAGCCAAGATGGTGATGTTTTATGAATCAGAGTATAATGGAGCAAGGTTTTTAAAACACCTTTTTTCACTGCCTTGTTGCTAATAATGATCTGAGTGTGACCGTATTCTTTGCAGAAGCAGCCTGCCTTGAGGGCTCTCCTACTTGCACCTTTCTCTGATAAGAATCTGAACAAGAAAGTAAGAAAGTTCAACACACAGAGCAAAGAGAGATCAGTTTTCAGTTCCTCTTATAGTCACGTTAGATCAGGAACAGTATGCAATTTCTAAACTCCTACCAAGGACATCAGCTCTTGCCAAAGAAGTGTTCCTTTGTACCTGAGCTACAAGGGTGTAGAATCAGATGGCAGAGGCAGTACTGCACAGGTGAAAAATTCGCTGCATCTGTCACTTAGGTATGGCTACCTTCCTTCATCACTGCTTTGGTTTGAAGTCACTTACTGCTCTCCCATGTAAAAACCTATTCTTTCACCACTGTATCTTACTTCCTTATCCATTCCTTAGCCTACCTAAACCACTTCATTAGCATATGCAACTTTTAGCATTCAGTTTTCTTGCCCTCTTTACAACAGGTGCCTAACTCTGTAAATAGGCTGAAGAAAGTAGGAAGGTAGAAGTATTAAGCAGGGCATTATGGGCTCGCTGTAACAGGTAGTCAAGGTGTATTGGCTTTACAAAATGCTAGCAGCTGAACTAATGCTTGTATGCCCATGTCTGTTGCAAGGCGATGCAGTTTATCATACGTTTGAGCACCAGAGGATGCCTTGCCTGACCTCACACTGACAGTTACAGTAGCTCAGCTGATGTGACATATGCTATTTTATTGCTGTAGGCCAAGGGCAGGGCAGGGCCCTCTGCCAATGAAACGCAGACAGCTTGAAGGGAAAATTTTAGTACACCCTCTTGTGGAATCTCATAAAAATTAGTAATGGGAACAAAAGCTAACATCAGCCACAACCTTGCACCCCTGCACCTGATCCACAGGCATGCCATCTAAGCTTTTCACATGTAAGAGATGGGGGGGCGGAGGGGAGAGGAGGTGTAAAGACTAGGCAGCCTGCCTGATCTCCCTTCAGCAAGGGTAATTTTACTGGGGTCACATGGATGCCAAATGTTGATGTACACTGTGATTTTACATGAAAACATATATGCGGGATATCTTCCCTGAGTTCCAGCTCAGGATACAGGAATTTATGTCCTTATTTGATTCAGTGTCCTGGATGCTTTGAGGAAGGGAAAAAGAATAAAAAAGAAATCTCAGGAGATAAAACACAATGAAACAAAGTCCTTGTTTTCAAGGACTTGTCTTGAGCTTATCTAATGAAACTGAACTACATTTTTAGCATTGTCTTTTAGGATCTTCTCCTTTACGTGGCTGTTAATACTGCTCTCAGGTAGCAGAGGGAAAGAGATAGCATAATTGAAGCTTTAATTTTGAACTGTGTCATAAACCATCTTTCATAAAGCCCAACAACAGTAAAGTGGTTCATTACATTTTAAAGTGTCTGATGTAAATAAGTTCCCTGAATTTGTGTGATCAATCTTCCCAAGGGCCAAAATATTTTGCTGTTCCCAAGCTTGGCTCTTGTTAAGACTGAATAGACTCAGCCCACATGCATTTGGAAACTGACTTGAATTTTAATTTATTTTTTCCTAATGCCTAATTGTGTCTACTATGGTTATGTGCCTCTTAATTCCCCCAAAGAAGCCCCTCAGCTTTGTGCAAAGATTCATTGGAGACTTTATAGGGTAATTGACCAAACAAGAAATGTGCAGTCAAGTAAGGCAGAGCTACTAAAATCATTGCATCAGAGGCAGAATTTATCCCATTGCCAGTTATCCAGGGGAGGACAGAAGACAAGTCTGCAAACATTTACTGCAGGAGAAAGGTATTTTATAAGCAGTATATGTTTGTAGGCCAGCCTTTTTTGTTTGACTGTAGCTACATGTATTTACAGCTCACTCTGTTCAACTTCCACTATCACTTACTGCTTACTTCACAGCTCCATGGAAAGAAAGAGTCTTCTTAGTCAGTAAAGCAAAAGATACAAGGAGAAAGAGCAGGGCAATTTAACTATATTACATTCTCCTTGTTTTAATTTTGTAAGATTTTAAGTATGCTATGAGAGGGAATTTTCCAGTGGTACTGAAAACTCCTAACTTCTTTTGCTGATCCTTTTATTTTATTTGTCCATGTCAGTTTCTACCCCATCCCTTTGCAAAAAATACACATAAGTACTAAACAAGGCAGTATGTTGTCTTCTGACAAGAGCACCCCCTGAAATCTGTATGAGTTCAGCATGAGGAACTCTTTTTTTTTTTTTTTTTTTCTTGAAAATGAGAATAAAATCTCTCAAATTATACATACTTCCTACTGCTGATCAAGGGAAAACATTTTCATAAGTTTGAGTGTTGAACATGGAGCAGAAGTAAAAGGAAAGTTCATCAGTAAAGAATATTACACAAAGCTATTTTAAGATTGTCCTTGACCTCTTCTAATGCCTCCTGAGAGCAATTTAAACTTTTCTTTTTCCAGTTGCGTACTGTCAGTTCCAGATTTGTGTTTGTTCTCTTCATGCTAGGGATTAAGTTATCTGAGTGTATTATGGGGAGATCTTCCAAATGCTCTTTTACCCTCTTGTCTGAGAAAGAGCCCTTAGATTCAGCCAGGTCAGCCATGGCAGAGAAAGTTCACAGCATGAATTTTGTTTCCTTGATCTCCTCTCAAGTCAACATTTTTTTTTTTTTTTAATAGTGGATTGAAATCTGACCTGAATGAAGACAATTGAAGTTCTATTATTGACATTGATGAGTCCAAACTTTTAAATCATTTTTAATGAAGAATGATTTTCTGAGATACGACGCGATTACATATATATTTGTATCTATGCATATAGGTATAGTTATCCAACACTAGTAAATTCCATGTTATAATGCTGAATTCTTTCATTATTTGTAGGCAAATACCTAATACCCCAAATGCCCTACCAACATAACTTCCAGTTATGAATCATTATACAGAGTGCTATCTTCAACACAGCCTTCAGGGAAAGATTATTAAATGCTGTGAGTGCTTACACATTCAGATTTTTTCACTGCTCAGACCTCTTATTGATGGTGCCCCAAAAGTAGCACATATAAGTACTTCAAACAAAGATTCTGTTAAATTGTTTGAAAACCACTTACTGTATACTGAAGAATCCTACAAAATTTCTGACCTCTAGCCATAAATGTAAAATACAGAAGTGAAGCATGAATTAAGTTACTGAAAGGAGTTGCATTCTTTGATCTCTTTTCTCTCATTCTTAACTTCAGCATTCTCATTTGATAAGTACTATAAAAGCATAAGTCAGCGTTGTGCTCACTGTTAGGAAAAGCTCACAACAGTTTCACATGTAGGCTGTTACTGCTTAGAACTGGTTAGTTTGGAGGTATTAAGCAATTATATGTCCTTCTGTGTCAAAATTGGTGCAGTATGCAGGAATATCAGCTTTTATAAGTGAGGTGTCATCATTTAATCCAAAAATGGAGACTGAGTGTAGCTGCCTGTGGTGGTTTTACTCAGCTGGGCAGCTGAGCTCCACCACAGCCACTCTCTCACTCCCTCTCCTCAAAAGGAAAGGGGGAGAAAATGTGATGACAAAGGCTCAAGGGTTGAGATAAAGACAAGGAGATCACCCACCACATCACAGGCAAAAAAAAAAGACTCAACATAGGGAGATTAATATAATTTATTTCCTATCACTACCAGACAAGATTCAAAAGCTACGGGCAAACTAAAATCACCATTCCCCCTATCCACTCTCTTCTTCATCTTCCCTCAGAGTGGCACAGGGGAACAGGGAATGGGGGCTGAGGTCAGTCCCTAACACTTTGTCTCTGCCACTCCTTCACAGTCACTCTCTGCCCCTCCTTCACCTGGAGTCCCTCCCATGGGATGGCGTCCTTCCTGAACTGATCCTATGTGGGCTGCCCACAGGCAGCAGCTCTTCAAGAACTGCTCTCACATGGCTCCATACCAGGGGGTCCTTATTTCAAGAGCAAACTGTTCTGGCACGGGTCCCCCATGGGTGTCAGCTTCCCCCAGGCACCCTGCTCCTGCAGGGGCTCTCCATGGGCCGCAGCCACATCTACCTGCTCCACCAGGGGCTCCTCCACACTCTGCAGCTTGGAGATCTGCGCCATGTGGGACCCATGGGCTGCAGGGAGCAGCCTGCTCCACCCAGGGCCTCTCCACAGGCCTCAGGGGAACTTGTGCTGCATGTCTGGAGCACCTCTTGCCCTCCTTCTGCACTGCCCTCAGGGTCTGCAGGGCTGGTTCTCATTCCTTGCTCTCCCAGCTGCTGTTGTCCAGCATTTTTTCCCCCCTTTGTTAAGTCTGCACTCCCAATACACTGCCCTGAAGATAACAAAAGGAGTGTTGTAAAATCTTTGGGAAGAATAGAAAATATTTTGATTTTAAATTTAAAAAATCTGCTTTCACTCAATGCTACCACAGCCAATTTTTCTCTTGTATTCTAAGCACCTGGTAATAGTTTTGGATACCTGTTGATGTATTTGTGGATGGAGTCTGGCAATACAGCATGCTAACCAAGAAAACTTTTTTTCTTTATTCCTTTCTTTGAAGACAAAGACAGGGATTTGTTTGCTGCAGGATGGTAACCAGGAGCCTTTCAAAGTGCGACTGCACTTAGCCAAAGATATTCTGATGATCCAGGAGCAGGATGTGATCTGTGTGTCTGGTGAGCCTTTCTATTCTGGTGTAAGTAGTTTTTATTTATTCTTTTAAGATGTACTGTATGAAGAGTAAAAATACTGTGTGTATGTATGTGGGCATGTGTGTGCGTACGTATGTATGCATTTAATCTCAGGTTAATATTTAATTTTACATTTTTAACACCAAGTATATTTTAGTATAACATCTACTGAGAGTAAATCCTGGCAATGCCCACCTAGGAAGCAACAATAACAACAAATAAGTTAAATGCACAACTACACTATTGTTTCTGTGCACTGACCCTTGAATCCTGGTGCCACTTAATACAGTTAGGCAGTGACTTTTACAAAAACAAAACAAAACAACAACAACAAAACAGGTGTACTCAGATATCTGAGTATTGTCTGTGGAGTTGATAAGACAGCTGATGGTTCACTGTTATGGTAGGGCTTTACTGGATCAAGATACACCAATGTTATGTTATTCTTTATATCTTTGCTTCATATTGTAGTATAACACTTCATAGATATTGTCAGCTGATGATGTGAGGGTCACCAGCTGAACTGGCAAGTTACTTACAAGTTACTGGCAAGTTACACACAGATGGACTTCAGCTGGAACAGTGCAGTAGTATGATTTATACATTACTGCTTTACATGACGTGTCAGATCTCTTATTTTGCATTGTATAGAATTTTGTGGATAAGCAACTAGGTCTGTAGACAAGTATTTGGAAGATCTGTGAAATGTAATGTAGAATAATATTGTAGTTTTTTGAATTATTGTAATAAGCTTTTATGTAGAAGATAGCAAAATAAAAAACAAAAAAACATTTTCTATTCATTTATAAACACATGCTGTAATTATATTTTTTAGAGTGGTTATTTTTTTTTTGAAACTTTTATGAACATTTTGTTCTCCCTTTCAGATTAATAAAATTATTGTAGGATTTCATGTTAAATCTTCTGAGGCATAGTGCTATAATACCTGTTAATGCAGACATACTCTGACTAATATTATGTCTGTCTATGTTATTATTTAATAACAGCTGTTTCCACATCCCTGTGTCTCTAAATACAAGTATAATAAAAAGATAAAAAGCAAAATACAGCAATTAATTGGTAGAATGTTAGTGGTGCTGACAGTATGGAAAATTAATGGAAAAATTGGAGAGGAATCCATCTCAAAGTGAATGTTTCTGATCATTTCTCTGAAACAAGAGCAACATACTCTTTATGGTGTCTCCATACATATTGGGTTTATTTGCATGACAACTCTGTCTTTTGACCATTTTATGCTATACAAGTACAATTTATTAATACAAGTCTGTGAGTTGTATATGGAATAAAGATGGTCCTTTTACTAATCAGACTGTTCCTTGACATACAGGATGTCTAGCAACCCAGGCAGAAAGAAGTTACGAGTTCAAACACTGGCTACAGCTATAGCTGGTCAATTAGCATCACACACTACAGCACTTTTACTCCAACAACACCATTCTGATTTTATTAAAAGATTGTATCACTCAAAAATATGTCTTTTATTATTGTGCTGTAATATCTATTACTTCTGCTGAATTTTGCATTTAAATGTCTTCATGAAATGCATATTTATTTTTTTCCCATTTCACTCTTACAGTTTTTTTCCTCTTTAGTTTTGCAACAGAACTGTTGAAAACAGTGAATGATTGCTTTACTGATTACACACCCTCTATTGTATTTGCATATTGGATGCATAACTCATTAACTGATTGATATTAATATGGTGATGAGGAGTTTCTTTTCTATTGTCTGTATTCATTGTTAGGCCAGTAACTCTGGAGGCCTTTACCCTGATTTCCTCTGGGATTAAGACTAGGCCTTGAATCAGTAGGTTCATTGTAGCTAAGGATGATTGGCATTTCATAGATAGTTAACTGTCCTTTTGTCACAGAACATTTAAATCCTCTGGAATTATTTGTTGTGATTATTTGTCTGATCATGTATAGCATGATCAGACAAGTCCCACAGTCTTACTTTTTTACATTTTTTTTCTTCATTTTTATTCTTGCTGTTATTAAGCTTCTTTTTGTTTGTTGCTTTTTGTTTGACCACATCCATTTTACTTTAACATACTTTTGACAGACCGAGTGGTTTCATTAGAAAATAACATTGAATGCCTCATTGAATAAACTCTGAAGAACAAAAATAAAATTTGTAGCTGAGGAACAATAGTGGTAAATTTTACAGACAAGTATCTACAGTAAAACACCTTTTTAATCTTTCAAAAATAATCTTTAAATAATTTGATTACAGGGTTTTACTTCACTGTTTAGGAACGAAAGACTGTTAGTATATTTCTAGTTTAGAACAGTGGCTCTTCTGTGTGTTGAATCTGAATCAATTTGCATGCTCCTCTGTGTAGGAAAGACTAAACAGCCACTTAACTTTCCCGCGGTATCCTGATTTGTATCCTGCAGAATAATTTAAGTGAAGCAATGAACCCTTAGGAGTGAGGTGCTACTTAATTTGAGTACATGGAATAAGGAGCTAGTTCCTAATAATAAAAATAAAATAATAAATAATAAAAAGAAAGTACACTTTCTTTTTAGTGGAAAACAATTCTAATTTCCCCAAACTAAAGAGGGGCAAAGGAACTTTGTCTCTCCTATCACTGCATGCAGTTTGGAGTAAGAAAATAAAATATGTAAAAGATTATAAGCAACATAGCATTAAAACAGTGTTAAACTAAAAAAGAAAGCATCTGTTTCTTTAGTAGGTTGAACAGAATAATGTTCATGAGGATCCTATACCAATCATGCCTGAAGCAATTCCATGAAACATCATAGAAAGATAGTTCAAACAACCACAGATTAGATCTAAATTTCCGTATCAGTTGCACCAAGTATTACAGACATTTTTTTATGTATACAAGACGAAAGACATGCTTTCCAAGAAATAGAAACATTGTGGATTCACTATTATGCTACTAGTGGGTATCTGATTTGAACTCCAGTGCAAATGAACAAGTGAGATGAGAATATTTTGTGAAACTCAAGTCTAGAAGGCAGTGTCTTTACAAATGCAAATTAAATCCTTGTCTGTGGAGGGTTTTGATATTATGGGAAGTGCATATCTGGCTTTTGACTAGTGTGTTTGCTGAAGATACTCCATGTGAGAAAATTGGAAGATGAGCCCAGTGACTGTTAGGTCAGGTAAATTTTTCTTTCTCCTAAAGTAGACTCACACAACATCTGTTCATAATTGTGGTGCTGCCAACACATAGCTTTCTTATAATCATCAGAAATTTCTATAGACGTCACTTGTAGTACAGTACAGTCAGGATTTTTATTCATTTCACTTGAAAAAGAAGTCCCCTGAAAACAGCTGAACCACATATGTGAACTTCATTGTTATTGGTAGCATAATAATTTTTTTTTATTTCATTTTAAATGTATTCCTTGAATTGCATGAAATTTTACTCACAAAATTTTATTATGTGATATTCAAGAGGACAATGCGTGATAAGGCGAAACACACCCTTTTTAGGTGTATGTGTAAATAGACCAGGATTGCCTAATACTGTCCTTGCTGAAAATTAGGACAGGAGGGGGGATCCCCTAAGATATAGAGTGTCTGGTTTGAAACACAAATCTTCAGTAGGCTAGTTCCTAGGAAATGTTTTAATCTTTACTGTTCCAGAATCATGGTTGTTTGTTAGTTTGTTTTGCAGTTAATCCTTACAGTTTCTATCACCTTTTGAAACTCAAGATTACTATGTTTTACTATGTTGCTATGTTTTTATTAAGAAATGTAGTTTACCTGTCTAGGAGCCTTTTTCTTCTTATTATTATTATTTTCTTTGTTTGTTGGTCTGTTTTTGTTTATTGTTTGTTTTTGTTTTTGGCAGATTCTATTTCTTTGCTAATTGTACTCAGGCAAGAGTTTTTTTCTACTATAGTGTACCTGCATGTAAGATCCGTAAACCAATGATGACAATGTACCATCTGACAAGATGAATGGTTCGAATCACCTGCTGTTTTTCTAAAAGAAAATAAACTGTGAGGAGCTGGCAAAATGCTAGCTTTTGTTACCAGGACAGTTTGTTTTAAAATAATTTTCTTATAGGTTCTGTTGAAGAGTCATAGATTTTCTGAAATACATCTAACTTACTGATGAAAAGATAGAGATGATTCTCGTTCATTTTGTGTAATATAATTTTATGCTGCTATATAGTCATGCATTATTTAGTTAAATGTCTAATAATTTATTCTAGCATTTTTACATTAAGGATGTTTTCCAGAGATTGATGCGAAGATAATTTGTACTTTCTATACTAATAGAAAAATTAATGTGAATTTGTAGAGCTCTCCAAGTGGTATAGCATTTCTCTAAGAAACTAACTGAGTTTGATACATTATATTGGAAGTTAACCTGTAAATGTTTTTTGGATAGTAAGAGGCTTTCATCTATAAACACCTTTTTCAAGGTCAGAAAGTAAGACTGAGTTAAACTATTGAACTGAAGCCAAATCTGATTTCTGGCATTACTAATCACACAGCCATTCTTCTTTTTCTTGTACAGATAAGAACCTATTACCTTTAACCTTGTCCTTTTTCTACTGTGAAATCAACTACATTGAGAGGTTTACAACTCTATACAATGTCCATATTTACTAAAAGTGAGTTGCATTAAGTAGAGTTTTTCATCTTACAAGATTTGCACAATAGAATGTTTTTCTTGATTTTTTTCTTAAATTATAAAGCTATTGTTCATTCTTAAGTACAAGCATAAATTCAGAACATGTCACTTAACCTTGACTTGCTTAAGCAGTCAGATGAATATATCATTTTATTTTCTGTGCTTGTTGCTGCACATTTTAAAATTTTGGAGACTTACTGAAAGTGTATTTTAAATCTGTTACCTTGAATCGTTTTTTGAGAGTTTGATATTTTTTTTTCATATATTTTGGTGTAGATAAAACAAGTTCAATTAACATTAGCAATACTAAGGAGTATAAAAATGAGTGAAGAAAGAAAAGTGAAAAGTTTAAAATAGTAAACATAAG